ATATTGTTAGACTTTTCCTTTCTCATTTTGCTCTTCCCTTCTCCTTTGTCCTGGCTAGTCTTTCCATCCATTGTATTGGCAGGGGAAGGTGGACATTCCTTTTCTTCCATATTCCCTCCTTCAGTTTCTCTTTTCAGTGTTATTTCTGTTCTGGACAGATGCTCTTGTCCTGTCTGGACTGCTCAGTGTTTTTTCACACTCTTCCTCTTTGTGGTTCTTCTCACTATCTTTTCATAACTGGTAAACCTTTTCTACCTAGGGCCTCTCTCCTTACCCCATTACATATTGGACCTGCCAGCTCCTATGTCTTATATATGCTCGTCTGATGGCAGATGTTTGTAATGTTATCACGAATCTCCTCTCTTCAGCTTCCTCCCCTCTCTTTTCTCCTGGTTGGCATGTGGACTATCTCACAATCATTTGTTTCACATTAAACTATCTCTGCCATCTGGCTGTCTCATCTCCAGAAGCATACAGACTTCCACCACCATCCATTCTTCAATTAAACCTGTAATGGGTGTGATTATTTGCTTACTCTTTCCTCACCTTTCTTCTACAATTGGTTCCAAATAGGCAGCTAGTGTTGCCTCTCAGGGTATATTTACCCAAAATTTTGCATTGGGATCTGGGCACATTTTCTAGGTCTCCTCTGAGTGAATTCTCCCCCTCAAGTGTAGCATAGAAGACCCTTGCCACTTGCCAGCTCCCAGCCACTGTAGTGGTGGACCATGGAGAATACTCATCGATTGGGACCTGAAAGTAGGTGCTAAAACACAATCCCTCTACTCTGAGAAGGGGGGAAGGAGTGTTTTTGGATTATAGTACAAACCACTCAAACTTGTCTAGATACATCACAATCTCCTAGTGGACTTTGGACACATAGCTCACTTACTCTCTGTTTCTCCTTTAGCTACTCTTGCAAGGACATGACTCCATCAATTATGCTTCCAGAGTTATTGATATTTTTTAATATCCAACTGTGATATATCACCCATTAACCCTACTCCCACAGCTGTTGGTGGACCCATAGAGTCTGATGGTTGAGCAGTGGTTTCATAAGTATCCTTAACTTGTCCATTGTGGTGCCCTCCTCACTCAACTGAAGTGGGCCTTAGTGTCTGACAGTTGAATAGCTGTGCATGGGTGCTTTTCACATGTATCCTTTCTCCACAGCTGATATTGATCCATAGAGACTAATGGTCAAGAATGTGAGCACACTTGATACAGTCTGAATATGCACCAAACTTACTACACATATTGGCCTCCAACAGCTTGTGTGCAAGCTTTCAGAAAGTCATGTACCTATTCCACCTGTCCTTATGATATCTTTCAGGCTTCTCATCAGTCCCTATTCTGCACTTGAGCAAAGAGTATACCCTCATTGAGATGAGATGCAGTCTCCAATGGGTGTGCCCCTATTGAACCACTGCCATAGGGTGTGACACCCCATGGGCTTCCTTCTAACACTCTTAAAAGGAGGCTCATCTAGGTAATTTCCACACCAGTTCTTTTGCAAGCTCAACATGGGATTCTAGCTAATCTGTGAATGGAGGTGAATCATCCTATCGGAAGTTAACATCTTCCTTACCTGAAAATATATTTCTGATAAATACTCATCTCCGTGCACGTTACCACCTTTCCTCTCCACTTTCTGGTGCACTTTGATTGATTGCCTCATCAAAGAATGAGGATTTTTGCATGTAAATGTAGAGGGAGTGTTTGTGCAGGAAGGTATGTCACACTCCTTTTGGTAGAGAGTTTGATGCATGATACCTCATCACGTAGTAGTACAAATTCATGTGTTTTCACGTGAATTTTAGGTGGGAGTTTCACAAGGCTGGTTTCATTCAAATCTCTAAAGCAAAATAGTACAATTTAAAGAAGGAAATAACTGTTCTGTGTATGGAAGTGAGTATCTATTGGAAATACATTTTCAGGTAAGGAAAATGTTAACACTTCTCAGTTCGTAAAAGTATCGAGTTTAATGAAGTCATTTGGAGATAATATTTTGTGTTTGTATCATTGTAAAGGTTAAGCCAGAAAATAAATTATGAAAATAAAAATGTTTTTCTGTGTACTAAATGTACTAAATGCCAGAAACAAATTGTTTTCCATTACCAAAATTAACAGATATGGAACTTTTGAAACCCAGAATTTATAGATAAAATTCTGTAAAAACATCTTTTAGCATATGGATGGAGAACTTTTGGATATGAGCTTGTGTGCCAAATGTTGTATTTGGAAAAATGATGAAGTATTGTATTGTTTCTTTTCCTTAAAAGTTACTTCTGCTTCTACAAGCCATAATTATTTTAATACATTCTTTTATAACTGTTTTGTGAAACGTTTATTGCATTGTATTTATTCCTGTATTTTTTTCTTAAGCAAAGCTAAGTTTCTGTATTTCAGAGTTATTGCAGTTAGAAGCCCCAGGAGATTACGACAAAGAATCGTGGGCAATGGAGCCAGAAGAAAAACTTGCATCAGTCCCAAAGCTTCGAGAAGAAGGTAATGTCCTGTATAGAACTAAGGAATACAAGAGAGCAGCTGACAAGTATGCCGAAGCTCTGAATCGTCTTGAGCAACTTCTGCTTAGGTAAAGTGTATTGCAAGGCTTTGTTGCAAAATTCATTGTATCTTTGTTTTAAAATGCCATATTAGAAGGTTTATTCTCTTAGTTAAATGGAATTGGTAATTTTTCTTGCTTATATTTTACTTGAATGTTTGTTAATAATTCTGTTCCACTTTTCTAGTTCTCTTGCTTGGTACCAGTGAAGAGGGTGATCAGCTACAAATCTTTTTTTAAATACACTTATACCACACCATAATCTGTGATTTTTTTTTTGTATTAGTATCTAACAATGTGCTGTAGCCAAGAATCTTCTGTCTTTCTAAGCTACTCTCCCAGCTCCCCAATGATATTGCATATGAAGCTTGTGAATCAGCAAGGACTATGTTAATGGAATTTAACCATTTCTTGTTGTAACTCAGTTCATAACTTGGACAAAATGTTTATTTTTTGTATTGCGAAGATAATTCATGAAATATGTACATTTCAAATCATGCTATCAAATGTATTAATGTGTCTTTTTCTTTTCTGAAAGTGAGTGGGAAGGACATTTACTTAGTGTGCATATATAGAAGTCTGCAAGTTTTAACACTTCAAGGTTTGGGTTTTCCTCAGTTAATATTTGGCTTAAAACTTCAGTACTGTTTGCATACATTTAGAACTGGGTAGGAAGTTTCAACAAACTGTTATTCAGGCAGAACATAATACATCTATAGGAAATAAATACTGCAATATAAATTAACTCTGGTATTTTAAACCTGAACTGCAGAACATACAACACATGGACTAAAAAGTTAAATAAGAGATAAGGTTCATGTGTAGTCATCCCTAACTTTGAACTGTTGACTTGAAAGAGGGCAGACAATCAAACTGTTGTATGGCTACTTTAAACCAAATAGTGGGATTCACTGTTACAGGTATAATGCTCCAATAGGAAAAGTGTGTTTTGTGTGTGGAGTGTGATCAGAGGCAACTTTGGCCTTCCAATGTGCAGCCTGGCATGTTAATTACTAGAACATACCTCGCCCATAAATTGAATTTCAGAGCAGGAAAGAAAAGGAAAATAAGATAGAAAAAGAGAGAGAAATAACTACAAATAATGGAAGTATACTATAGATAAAGTAACTCATGTAATGAAGCCTGAAAGTTTTGATTAAAATCAAAACTTTAAAAAAAGAATTTATGTTAGCAGATAATACAGTCTCTGTTGCTACAGGACATATATATAGCATCTTGAAGTTATTTTTATTGTTGAAATAAAAGTAATTTTTTCTGATGTAAAATTTTACACCTAGATTCTCACATATACTATTTGTGATGTTAGTTGTGGGTTAATACTAATTCATCCACTCGAAATTAACTGTCACGCCTTTTGCAAATAAGAGGATACTATTGTAAAACTAATTAACATAACCTGCTCTTTGTGTAAAACAAATGTTACTGTAAGTTCAGTTTAAAGAAATTATTACTTCAGTTAATGTGAGTCATGGTTTTAGGGAGAAGCCTGGGGATGAAGAGTGGAATCAGCTTGATTACATGAAAATTCCATTGCTACTAAATTATTCTCAGTGTAAGCTTTTGGAAAAAGATTACTATGCTGTGATAGAACATACAACATCTGTATTACAGAAGGAGCCAAGTGAGTATTATTAACATAGTAGAAAGACATGGAAATGTAGTGAAATTTAATGTAAATAATGATCAAAATATGTTGCCCTTTTTAAGGCTACTGTATTATTATCACATCTGTTAACACTGACTGTTGTAGCATTTCTAATCCCTTTAGAAAAGTTTAACCATTTGGTAACAAGAACGTAACTATCACATTTATTGATACTCACTATTGTAACATTTCTGTTCCACCTTCAGATAAATTTAACCATTTTGGTTCAAATAGGTGATAAAAGAAAGATTGAAAAAAAATACAACTGTACTCCTGCTTTTATTGATTCTTTGATGTCAATTCATTAGTAATAAAACTTAATCTATCAAGCAAACTGGGAGTGACATAGTCTTTACAATGCTATGTTTCTTGCAAACAGAAATGGCATTGTCTTTATTATAATGATACATTTTGTAGAAGCATAAATAATGTTATCTCTATTGTGTTACATTTCTTACACACCAAACTAGCATTGTTTTTATAGTACTACATCTATTACAAGCAGAAGTAACATTGTCTTTATGGGGATGGAGCGAATACTGAAGATCAGTAATCAAATACGAATACTTCATATTTGTATGAATACGAAAACAAATACAGGAAATATGCTAAGGTGTTTGAATACGAATACATAGTAATGTATTCTTGAATACATTCATGAATACTCTATCTGATAATATACAATAATTATAAAACAGCAGATGATAAGATTTCAGTACCTTTATTTTATGAAACAAACAAAATTTGAACAATTAATAACATTTTAATACTTTTATTTTTCAAAATGTAATAAAGTTTTAGAATAAAAAAAATATTTCTAAAGCAGACTTATAGATATTATAACTGTCTATTGTTCTTTATCAAATGCTTTGTCAGTGAGTTGGCAGCAATCAGGTCTAAGGGTTTTGCTTCTGATTTTAAATGCTCAACAGGGGCAAGAGGATTCTGGAACACTCGGGTAACATTTGCCTAGAAGAGATAGGGTAGGAAAGTTTTTATCAATGGAATTCAATGCCACAGCCAAGCAGAAGACACTTCGTTGCTCATACTGAACCAGCTGTGCATGAATAGATTTCTTCAGTGCAGAGACAAGATTGAATTTGTATCTGGACTACATGTTGTCATTCTCGGTCATCAACCCACAAACTGGAGGTAACAATACTCTGACCCTGGGTGAAATCTGTTGCCTCTTCAAAAGGTGTCAGTATTGTCACCAAATCTGCAAGCACAGTTCAATCATGATAAGTAAATTTTGATGTACCACTATCTAGTTTATTCAACTTCTTCTGGGAAATCTTCAGTAATGACTTAATTATCTTAATTTCTGAGTTCTGTCGTGTTGGTGTTACTGACTGAACTCTGGCCTCTCCCTCAAGTAGATCAGCTGCTTGCATTGATTCATTCCATCCCTGATGTGTGGGAAAATCGGGGGTCATGTTCAGGAAGAAATTTGGATAAATTGTTTGCTGATTTAGATTCATCCAAAAGTTCATTTTCTGAGTCACTATCTGTAGATGGGTTATCAACATCTATCACACTAGGTAGTGTTTGTGGTTCAAATCCTGGCAAGCAGAAAGCCTTGATCATGTTGGATGTGTCATCAGCTGTCACATATGACATCTTGTTGTTGATGTTAGAGAGATTTATTATTTCATCATA